TCCAAACTTTACAGTCAGATTAGTTACGATATAAATCTTCAAATCGAGCGAGCGTCTATAAATATTTCGATTAGATCAAGTATTCTAATTATTAAGCGAACTATTATTAATAAAATTTTGAGAAGATTTCGATTTTAAACGTATTTATAACCTTGATAGAGGGCGCTGTTCGTGAGCTAAGAGAATAATTTGACTATATAGTTTTAATATTTAATTTATATATAATTTAAATAGCCTATCGTTTTCCTCGTATTTTTTTACCTATGTATGGAAATTTTGGTTTGAATTAGTGAACTACTGCGAATTTGTATACCGGACATACAAACCAACAAACAAACAAACAAACATTCATTTTTATATATATAGAAGATATAATATAAATGAGTTTTAAAAATTGTAAAAAAAAAAATGCATCGGCCGGGAATCGAACCCGGGCCGCCCGCCGTGACAGGCGAGCATTCTACCACTGAACCACCGATGCTTAAAAAAATGGCCATATTTAGGTATTCATTCCATTCCGGATTAGTTCGCGTAAAAAAAAAGTTCTTCAAATGAAAAAAAGAAATAGCCAAAAATACTAATCAAAATGCAGCCGAAAATTTTCCTCAGGTTTATAAAAAGCGACATGCAAAATTTGGTACCAATTGGTTCAGTAGTTTTTGAGTTTATCGCGAAACAGACAGACAGACAGACAGAAATTGACTTTTATATATATATATAGAGATAGAGATTAGTGTTTAGGTATTTGATTTAATTCATATATAGTTGATATAATAGTTCATTTTGTCTCCTCTCTAATTGTAAATACGCTGCTGTATCACCTCATAAGCATAAATAAATAAATAAAATATAATAGTATTTATTTATATTGTATTTTTTATAAATTAGTTTTAAAAATTGTAAAAAAAAAATGCATCGGCCGGGAATCGAACCGGGCCGCCCGCGTGGCAGGCGAGCATTCTACCACTAAGCCACCGATGCTTTAAAAAAAATGGCCATATTTAGGTATTCATTCCATTCCGGATTAGTCCGCGTAAAAAAAAATAGTTCTTCAAATTAAAAAAAGAAATAGCCAAAAATAATAAGCAAAATGTAGCCAAAAATTTTCCTCAGGTTTATAAAAAGCGACATGCAAAATTTGGAACCAATTGGTTCAGTAGTTTTTGAGTTTATCGCGAAACAGACAGACAGACAGGAATTGACTTTTATATATATATAATATATAGATAGATAGATTTAACCTATTTATAATTTACTGAAAACATTTAGGATTAATTTTATAAATCCTTTCCTTATCCTTCTATATTAATAAAATGGAAATTTCATAAGTGTTGTTCGCTAAAAACTTTCGTTACAATGCATCAATTTCGACCAAATTTTCAACATTTATGTAAAACGAGATGGAGCAGGTTTTGCTTAACATCAAAATATTTTTCCTAACATTAACATGCGTAACTTCGGTGTTATCGATTAAATACAAAAAAAAATCAACAGAGTTAATTTTATTTATATATAAATACAAAAAAAATTTAACAGAGTTAATTTTTTTACATACTAGCTAATAATCTCAATCTAAAAAAATATTCAAAACAAGCAATTTTAAGATAACACCATATGTAAAACAGTCGGCCAAGAAAACAACAACGATATTACATCTTTCTCACATATTCACACACAATCTTGATTAATAAATAAAACTAATCTTTAACATTGTTTATTATACTTCATAATATATAATATTCGTTAGGCAAACTTTCACTCGGATAAAACCCGGGCGAAGCCAGGTACACATCCGCTAGTATATCTATAAAAATGAAATCCAAAATCGATTTTTGCTATCGCGTTGCTCAAAATATACCGAATCAATCATCATAAAATTTTGCATGTAGGTAGCTGAAGATTTCGTTTAACATATAAGCTATTTTAAAAATTGAAAAGGTTAATGTACCTTTTTTAAAAATATAAAACCAAAAAGCGCTAGTTTCCAGCCTTTTACCGATTGGCGCGGCTCTGGTCGCGACGATAAATAAATTTGATTGGTTAATAATTTTACACGTAGTTTGTTTGATTGTTTACACGATGAGTGTTTTTAAAAGTTAAGATTATCCAATCGCGTGAAACTTTAGGAAGGTATTTGCTATACTACTGTGAAGGTTTCTGGTTTGAATTTGATTTGAAATAAACATTCGTTGCAATTTTAATTGCAAATTTCTACTTTTACTCGCAAGCAGCCCCTCTAGCGGTATCTGGTGAAATTACATTTATAAATTGTAAACTGGTTCAAATCACATTAATAGGTACCGCTCAGCAGGAGCAACCTAGTTCATGATAAATGAACAATGAATAATGTGTGAAGGCCATTCACATATTAAACAATTTTTAACGCGGGATTCAATCCCGGTTCATGACTGTCGGGAATCGAGGGGGTTACCCACTCGTCCACCGACTTTATATTAAATTGTAAAAATGCTAAAATGTGTTCCAAGTATAATATCTCTTCTCTCTCTATATAAAAATGAATGTTTGTATGTCTGTTTGTCTGTATGTCCGGTATACAAATTTGCAGTAGTTCACTAATTCAAACCAAAATTTCCATGCATAGGTAAAAAAATACGGGAAGACGATAGGCTATTTTAAAAAATATATAAATCAATTATTAAAACTGTATATTTTTAGTCAGAAAATGATGATGACGATATTGCTGTATCATGTTTGATTATCAGATACAAAATTATATCGGGAAAAATTCTAAAAAGTAGAGACCACGGGTGAAACCAGTTCATTATTTTGTACGCAGGAACAAAATTCTAACAGAAAAACATTCATTCGAGCAGAAAACAAGAGCCAGATCATCTTTTCTATAAAAATATCGCTTGTCAGACACAAAGTTTGGAGCGGGACGCTTCACAAGAATGACATCCACGGCGCCAATTTATAATTGTAACGAATAGTATTTGAATAAAAACATTTAATCGGGTAAAACCCGGGCGTTGCCCGGGTCATTCGGCTAGTATTTAATATTTAATTTGAGGATTTAGTAATATAATATTCCAATGACGTTGTAAAAAACTTGGCATTTCAATTTTAATATATATTTAAAGAAAAGATATTATTCAAAATTTAATAAATGTTTTCAAAAAAATTATGTGT